GGGTTCGTGTAATGAAAGCCGGTGGTCCATGGGGAGCCTAATTAACATAATGGAACAGCAACCGTCACACTAACTATTCATTTATGTAATTAAGTAAAGTTTAATCCCAAACAATATAAACTAGTAAAAGATAAACCTAGCTTTTTTATCTTTTCTGAAAGGGTCCGTGGGCTCTTAGACGTTTTGAAACTACATAGAGTAGACGATAAGCTTAAATTATACTGCCACACAGCTTTATTGTCCGGGCAAGTAAGAAAAACGGCAAATATTTTAGGAATGTTTCGGGACACCGCGCTGCTTCGTAGGCAATCTCTCTCTCTCTGCCAGTCGCTTCTCACGTATTGTATTTCTAATTGGAGTGATTTAGCAAAAACGCAGATGTCCACCTGGAAAGAGCACAACGACCTGTTTTTAAAACTATGCGGTAAATCTCGACTTTATCCGACTGCAGGAGGCTATACGAGGAGTCTGGTGTTCTTAGTGTTCGCAGGCTCTTCGCTCTTAAAATTGCAATCAACACCCACAGACAAGTTCTTTGATCTACTGACTGCAGTCCTTTGATCATGAAACGTGCATTTCGTGTCCAGCTACTTACCATACACAGTTCGTGTGCTAAAAGATTTCACCCGTACCATTCCTGTACGACAACGTCCTTAGATTTTGTGACATAAACCCATATAAAACTCTATCGTCTATTCGAAGCTAAACGTGTACTACAGTTTTGTTGCTTGGTTTGTCTTATGATTTTGTTGAAAACGTGATTAATAGTATGTCGTAGCAGCATTTGATTTCATTGATTTTATTAATTTATAATGTTACATGAAATGTTAGTAGTATTTAAAGGTATACTTACCTAATTATCGTATTTATTCATTGATTCATGGCTATAGGAAAAAAAGATATGTCATTACCATTATTTATTCTCATATCTATTTCTGTTCTTTTTAGAGGATAAAAAACATTATTTTTCATAATATGTAAATCGTATGCCTGGAACCGTGGTAAATATGAAATTGTAATCGTTTTCTGTCAAATAAATTTTATCTTTTAGTCCACACATATTTTCTTAAGTAGGTATGTGCATAGCGGAACAAAAAAGGAAATCAAAATACGGATCTGTTTACAATGGAAGTCAAAACTTGAGAAGGGTTACTAAAAAGTTGTAATTAATTATAACTTTACTTATTTCCATTTCCCCATAGAATGTTCTAGCTCGTCGTCCGTTTGAGAAGTTTGTAAAATCGGTTAGACTTGTTTCTGAGAATTGAAAGATGCCTTCCAATGTTCCTACAACAGGAGCCACTGGCGACGAGCACTCGCTAAGTTAGATGTAAACTTCATCACCTTTCACAACTTTAACAAAGTACTTGTGATACCATTGTAGAAAGAGAAATGCAACGGCATTTTAAGTACATTGCACTTACAACGCGTGCATAATTAAATAAAATATCATGTTTCGTGTTTAGTAAAGGAAAATAGCATTATTTTATAAAGAATTTAAAATATCGCTTTTTGGAATACTTGGAAAAATAGTTTCTAATTTTCAGTTACGATTGGGCTAACAAATATGATATTCTGATTAATGTTAACCAAACTTATATCCATTAACATTAACCAAGCAAGGTAAAGTAAGTACCTAAAAGCATGTGTGCCGTCTTCACCCGTGTCGATTCCACCCAAAATTTAACTTACTTTCCCAAATATAGATGTACATGAATATGTATGTACTTTTTTGTTCAATTACCTTTCATTGCTATTTCTTTAACGATTAGAACATTTCAAGATCTTATACTGTTTAAACAATACAAATGTACTGTTAAACAATACAAAAGATAGGGATATAGTTTTTGCTAACAACTCAAGGAGTTAGTATTTTTATAATAATTTTAATCATATACTGCCTACTGGTACACCCAAATAAATAAGAATTTACCGTTAAATTATGTGAAATAATGTGAATAATCGTCAATGACCCATTCCACAAGTAGATAGATATAGAAGATATGTTTTGAGAGATAACGTGGGTTGCTCACTATTTACACAGATTACTAAGTTACCGAAATTGTGTAATAACACTATCGACTATTAACTTCCTTGATTGAATAGCTGATAAAAGATTTAAAAAAAAATTGGAACGCATTGCTTGCAAAAGTTGTACAATACACTCGCAACTATATGGGCCATATTATCGTCTTGCCATGTCAGGGGAGAGAAAAACGTCATTGTATGTATAAAAGTAACAATCTTGAAATCGTACCCTTGCTATAATACAGCCACGGGTTTCAATTCATACAAATTAACTTTAGTACATATAACTTGGATGAAATAAAAATAAGAAGTGTTGAATTTCGAAAATTTGAGGTGCCATAAGAATATAAAATGCAAAACTATTTTAAACAACATTTGAGGGATGTTGAAATTAATATTCATTTACAATTACGAAAATTGGTGAAAACATTTAACTTTCGTTGAAAAGATAACAAATGGAAGGTTTCTCAATGGTATTGTTTTTGATTTGTTAGTTTGCAATCAATTGTATAAATGACGCTTTTTGAACTTATTCCCGAAACTAAGTAACGTTTTAGCACTGACTTTTTATTTAAAATATTAAAAGTAACTGACTCGGCTTATGTGCGATTTATTATATGTTATTGTATATGTATCCACCGCCTGGACAGGAGCGATAACTAGTGATGCAACAGACCTCTGCTTCTGCTTGTGCAACTGCAGACGTTCCGCACGCTTTTTCACATCTGTTTCCGTTTCCACAACTTTTATGCGCGATGCGTCAAACGCTAGTGCGGGTTACTTGGCGGTCAGGGTGCGTTTTTTAAATATTTGTGGTGTGATAGAATTGCACTTAAATTTTGAAACCAAAAACAAATCCTGTTGCGACTATTTTATTGAGTTCTTATAATATTTACACTTCCATTTCCGTTTACGCTAACATTTACTTTACGTGTATTTACTTTTGAAATCCGTTTCTGTTTCCGTTATGACACTTCCGTTACATCACTAGCAATAACCTTGATAGCTGCCATCTGTTGGCCTTTTCAAATATTATTCGCATCACGAGTTTACTTGATACCAGTTAACAATCAAAATAAGCGTCCGAATAAGCGGAGTTACGAGTGCAACATTTATGAGATTGGGTATCTTTATTTTTAATAACGCGCACACTCAACATTAGCCCCGCACTAGGGTGTGTCGCGGGCGCCATGGACACACACATAGACAACCACAAATTACACCCAAACTCACGAGAGAAATAAATGTAGGCCATACAAATATTTCTCCCGGTCCGGGAATCAAACCTGGGACCTTTGCGTGGCAGTCCGGCATGGTAACCTTTCGGCCACGGAGGTAGTTTCCTGTCTGTCCAAGTATACTTTATTTATCTGTGATAAATAAAGTATACTCGTGTGTGCTTTTGTCACATGAAATATAATTATGTATAGAAATATTGTAACTCCACTGTTTAAACAGCCTAAGTTAAAGCGAGATTTATGTGAACGCGAGCGTAGAGTTTAGGAGGTGAGGTGGGGTGGTCGCCTCTCGCGTCCCGCATTCCGCGCTGTAAATTAATATGAATAACATAAGAACATGCGGAGAAAATTGGAGACAGATCCGACATCAACAAGCGCCCGATGGCAACTGACGGAGCAGCGGAGGTCGTAGCGTGACGTTGGGATAAATGTGAACTTAATAAGTAATAAGGCTTCACTTGAAAACCAAAATTTAGCAGGTTCTACGTAGTAATTAAAGAGAAATATCTCCATATAAAAATTATGTACAAAGATAGATATTTTCCTCTTAATAATCAGAATTTTATGATCGGGTGAAGTACATCTTATCTTGTAAACAGTGCATTCTTTAGTTAATATTCTTAGGTGTATCCTATATTTTTTGTAACATCGTTTTTAATAGTAAATGCCTAATCCATATATATATTTGATCTAGCAAATCAGTTATTCCCGTTTTTTCTCCGACGATTCGCCTTAAAAAATTATCGACTAATGTCGTTTGTAGAATCTTTCAACCACTCTCCTGAAAAGTAGTAATATTGCAAATGTGGCCACGTTACCCAAAGCGTGCGAAATAACATTATCTTTTCCAAAATCGAGCCCACCGTGACGAACCTAGCGCAGCCAAATAATTGCACGTGTACCGCAGCATTTTCAAAATTCTAGAACGTGCAGTTTTCGCGAGGGTCTATCCATATAGATTTATAAAACTGATATGATTGCGCTGTTTCTTTTCTGCTTTTCCTTTGTATGTACAAAACGTAGAAACTCCGTATTATGCACATGTAACACGCCTACAGCTTTTGCATAAAGGCAAGCAGGCAAAACCTATGTACCTGTGATTTTGTGCACAGAAATGCGTGGGTTTTGGAAAATTGTATAATTATAGTAGTCAGAAGGATTCTAAATGAATAGTTTTATTATGCAAGCCGAAAGGGTTAGTTACAGGAGACACGGTGTTTGGCTCCACCGTTGCGTGACGTCACTTCCCCTTGCCCCATACATATAGGAAATAAATTATTTATACCACTTTTTTGCATTTATTATAGAGTCAGTACAATATATGTATGTGTAAAATTTCAGAAACGACGTGAGTTATTTTTACATCACACTTCTCTTTTGTGACTCCATACATAGCGCATCATTAGACGTGTAATGACATAATTAAGATCTTATGTAAAGTGAAGTGTCTTTTACTCCTTCAGTCCGTAATAACTATAAAAATAGTATCCCTTTTATTTGCTTTTTCTTCTCTTTTTCTCCTCCTTTTTATAGTTCGACCTGATTTCTAAGAGCTATCTATTCCCCCGTACACTTTACAAGTGTGAAAATTAATTTGTGTAGCATCTATTTTTGGGACCGAGTTATGTTTAAAACCACACGTTTCAATTACGTTTGCAATTTTGATTTTCAAATGAAATGTGATTTAGCGTACAAAATTCAGGAATACATTTATCATCGTATAATTTGTTACAGAAAAACTTGCGGTATTCATTTGACTACAAACAACGAGCGTAACGAACAGGCTACGCTGCAATGGGCCAAAGCGTCGATGAAGGAGCTTCGTACCGAAATGCGTGAACTAACCGAGAGTGTCAATAACTCGGCCCTCCTACGAGATCTCCACGTCATCCGTAACGAGGTAAACACTGTTGTTGACGTCTGTTGGCTTTGTGCTACCAATAATCATATTATGGCAACACGTCCTCGAGAAGTCGATTGAGTTTCTGAAATTCATATTGATATATTGTTAGAAATCTTTATTGGTGTAGTGATGCATATATATAAATGCTGAGTACATAGTGGAAAAAGTTTTATAATGATGTTTAGTATGGAGAAAACTGCTTTCATTGGATAAAGTTTCATAGCGTATAGCAGATCTACTTAAGGGAATCACCACACTTAAATTTGCGGAGTCTACTTGAGCCGATCAGATAGCTTTAGTCGCGTTTCGCGTCGACTGTCTGTGCGGAACCAACTTAGTGCGATTCCGTTTCGATAAGTGCGATGATTCCCTAAAATCACACTATAATATAAGTCGCTAGGAACGTCACATTCAAATTGCTGTCCTGTACAATAAAAAAATACATTAATAGTTTCGAAATATTTGGAAAGTATCGGAGAAAATTGTTAATTCGTTTTCAGCGGTTTAGCCTACATTTCAGTTTATTTTCTTTTGCTGCTTGATGTAAGTAACTATAAAGTGATGAGTTAGTTAAATTGAGACCCAGAAATTACGCGAAATAAACATTGACCGGAATTATGTTATAAAAAAGAAAAAAATTGTCATTAATGGTAAGAATATGGGGAAAATGTTTAGTTTAGTTTTCTTAGAAACATAATAGAAGGGAAGATCGAAGGAACGAGAGGCAGAGGAAAGACCGAGATGAAATTATTTAGATCAGATAAAGGAAAAAGTTAATGTCGTGTCGTATCAGGAAATCAAGGCTAAAGCGCTAAACAGAGATGATTGGCGATTGCTCCACCGACAAGAGCCTAGCTCTTAAATAATAAGAAGAAAAAGGTAAGGTATTCTCCCTTCTTATAAGATTAAATATATAATAAGGCTTTTATAAGAATAAATATTTTAGTATTCAAAACCAGGCATGCTTTTGCTATTTGGGTTCGTTCTGAAGTTCATAAGGAAACTTAAACTTCCTTAAGAAACTTCAGAACAAGAAACTTGCACTTTAAGCGTTGTAAGCTATATACACCTATTTCCAGCTTTTAGATATCTGCAATGATCAAAGGCAGCAGCATACCAGAATTTCATCCCCTAGCTGGAATTATGTTTCTAGAAGAAGATAGAAGATAGGAAGATAAAAATAAATTGATTTCAATATAACTTAATCTAATACAATACAAGGAAAATTTCTAACCTTAGTATAAAATAGTCGTACACATTGTTTCGCCTGAGCTGAAACTAGGGTTTTCACTCTAACCTCGAAACGCAGGCAAGGGTTTTAAGTTTTAAAAGCTTTGCAATATGCTTTACACCTTAGTGTAAATAAAAAACCAGATTTGGGGTTTTTCACGGAATAACAAAAACAATTATTCTCATACCAGCTAACCGAGCACACTGGGAGCAAACACGCAAACTTGCATTGACGCTACATTTCTCTCAGCTTATTGATTGTGTCACGGTGAATACCGGTTGTTTAGACCTACAGCTTTCTTAACGTACAAAACTCTCTGCTGAGAACTGATCGGAACTTTGTATAGGTGTTTACATCTTTAAGTAGCTCCGACCACTGTCTAGTGAATAGGTACAGCAAAAAACCCGAAATGGCCGTACAGGTCAGCAGCCTATCAAAATGAAATGCGGTATTTTGTCACACCTTATCCTTGGCGTACATAATTTATATATATCTTCCTATATGATATTTTCATATGTCCGCCGAGCTATGAAAATAGAAGTTGTACGCCAGGGCGTAGCGTATTTTATAGGCAAACACTGATTATACAACTGGCAATAAAAATAACTCATGTTTAACAATTGGCTGTTGTGATCTACCCAAGGAGAAACTCACTTCGCATGTCTCGCTTTAACTGAAACTTGAATGCGCAAAGCTTCCAGAATTACCCGCCAACTAAATAAAGCATTTGTCAAAGCCAGACCAGTCTCAACTTGCGCTGACATGAGTTTGGCTTGCAAGTTGAATTAGCGTTGTTTCCAGTACTTTCAGTGCTGTAATGTTGAAAGAGCACTTTTTAATAAATTTATTGTATTAATATTTTGTGTATATTGCGTAAGGTATGTGTAACATAACACAATATTAATAAAAAAAAATAAAAAAAATAATATTAATATTCATCACATCAGAATTATGTGAATTTAAACAAAAACATTGTTACAGTTGAAAAAGGCTTTGACTGAAACTGCGGATCTGGCTCAACTGACACGGACTCAGGAGGCGCGGGTTGACAAGCTCGACAACGAAGTGAGCCGGCTAAAGTACGACCAGCAACAAGCTCACTCCATGATTGCGGAACTTCGGAACCATTTTAACAAACTCTCGAGAGAGGTAAGCTCTACGACTCTCTTTAACGAGTGATTCCAAACAGAAGTTTTTCCAAAAAAATTCCTTGATTAGCGTTAACAATCAACATGTACATGTGAGCTTAATACTTGATATTATGAACGGTTTTATAAATTATTCATTTTATTTACAATCACATGGCATTGATAGTATGTTTTTCGTTTAAGTCCACGGAAGATACACTCAAATTACTTTATTCTTTAAATTGTCTTCACTATAGGTACAATCATCACCAATAACGTTCTGTCCTAAATAATTAGGACAATTGTCCTCAAGCAAAAATCATTGACTTATTAGTCTACTCTCCGTATAAGAAGAAATTCCTTACGGAATTTCCTCTAAGCTAAAAATTTTCCAACCATATTATAATTACTACCTATAGGTATATAGATAAGAGGTGCATTTCAAGGACAGTTCTGTCAATATTTGGGACATTGTCCATAATTTGTGTTAAAATTAGTAAATCATCTATAACGTGTGTAATATTATAAGTAAAGATTTTGAAACAAATTCAAGGTGCAAGTCAAAGTGCAACAATATTAATTTACCGATGTATTCAAGAGGGAATTAAGACGTTCAAATGCGCTTTTGTTATTACGTAGCAGAGCTTGTTGTTCTTGGAGGAACTCAAAGTAAATTAAACTACGATGTGTACTTAAAGGAAATGAAGCACCTTAAGCAAGATATTGTGGCATAAATTCTCCCTTCAATGTAAGCACTACAACTGAGTAGTATGTATTTCTGATAAAGGTTACAAGATATGTATTTCACAACGGGATGTGTAGTAAATATTTGTACTCGCTAATTGGGTACCAACATACACATACTAACGTATGCACGCACTGTTTCCATTATCGTATCCGATTTTCAGACGGACTTTGTGATTTATATATAATTGTGTATAGCTGTGACGAAGGGTGCTTATGAATATTTAGAATGGTCCCAACATACCCAAATTTCGAGTAATTTTACAATAGCTGTAAATTAAATAAAATCCTACAAATAAATCAACAATATGGTATTAAAATAAAAATATAAAAAATCTGCAATATGGTTCAATACTTAATGGAATAAAGAATTGAATTGAGACGAAGTCTTTTCTTTTAAATACAGAGACTTGATCAAGTTTATTCCTTATGATGAATTGAACACAAAACTCCCATTTGAGTGTTTGGTACCTATGTTATTGATATTTTCCCGAAAATGTAATTTCAATCTACCTAATTCGTCTAATAGACAGATTTAAACGATAAAGTCATTTCGATAAATTAAACGCTTGCTGCATAACGAACGCGTATTCAAATATCTCAAGTACCTATTACGTAATATACTTAGCTATCAAAAGATAAACTCAACAGTACTCCAGATGCTCCCTCAGTGCATTGTTTTCGCAATATCTCAAAATATATCAGGACCCATAAGATGATTCACGGTCCGGTTGCCTCGGAATTGAGACCCCATATTGCAGATAACTTTTTACCAAAGCTGCGTTATCTCGCAGCCTTGTTTTTTCCTAGTGATTTCTAACTGAACCTCTCTAACTCTCTTATAACTCACCATCTTGATTAAAATAGAATTTCCTGTCGAATATAGACTAAACCTGTTGTCTGTAGATATATGTATGTTTATGTCTGCATATTCTGCCAATAGGATTAAACTAATAGGATCAATTGTGGTGACAAAGGGCGAAGCATAAATATTATTACGGGTGGCATCCCTCTTCACGCTCGGTGGTCGTAACCGTCGGTGACCGTTGCGCCCGCGCACCTGTGACGCTGTGGTTGCTCGCGGTCCTATTAGTAAATACAACTAGGAAGTCAATACGATCTTAAATTATAATATTTGCGTATTAATACATTTAAAGGTATCATGGGAGTTAATGAACCAACATTGCGGTCACGAATAAGTAAGTAAGCTGTTGAATGCCACGTTGCCGTGAAGATTTATTTCTAATACCAAGTGACGGGACTAACAATTCGTGCGCCTGATGGTAAGCGACACGCCTGTCCATAACTCAAATTACTCCTTGGCGGCATCAATAGGTAAGGTGGCACTAGTACTTCGCTGGACGAACTCTTTCACAAGGAGCTTTACTGCTACAAATGTTTCCGGGTACATGACCTATATATTACGTTTTGGAAAATTCCAATCTTTGTCTTTTACTTAAACATCTCGAAATGTCAATTCATAATGTTTTTTGTAAACAGAAAGTATGAAATGTAGAAATCAAGCGAGCGTTTTGGATAGCACTGGTTCTGATAAATATTTAACTCGCGCAGCTGCTCCGAAGAGAATAAATAATGTGATGATGTGTGTACCTTCCTGTCCTTTGTCTTAGCACAAGATCAACGTAATTAAACCTTAATAAGACCTTAATACGAAAAAGTATCTGTACGAATAAGGTGTCACATAGGTACGATCTATAAATTTTCCTGCAAAGTTATTAGACTTTTCTATACTTATCTTTCTGTAGCATTGACGAACGAATATAGAGTAAATTAAATCCTTTTGAAGTTAAGATTGCTATACTGGGTATGTACGGACTCAATTCAAAAAAGCTTTCCAATATGGGCCAATTTTTTTTGATTCTTAATATGCGGAATGTTTTGCATTTTTTGTTTTTTATTTAAGAATGTCTCTTTTTAAATATGGCAAACTATGGCTATTCCTTCACTTCCGAAAAGTCCATCTAAGTATTTAGTGCAATCGAATCAACGTTCAACAGTTCAACATTTTGAAACTTCATTAAGTGGAAGTGTAATCCGTCTGTGTATGACTTTGCAACAAAGTCGGATTTAAACAAGCGGTTGTTCAATAATTTTGAGATCAATAACGTCATCAGAAGTCGAGCAGTGTAGTACTTGTTTGTATAATATAATAAGCGACGAAAGCAAACATCCTCGTCTCGCGCCCTTTGTACAAAAGCAATCGTCAGTGAGGCTGAATCTATAATGGATATATTAATAATGGAGTCGAGCCTCCTTTAGCCTCCAGCCGACAATATCCAGTAATAAATTAACGAACAATATTTCTTTGAGGATATCTGTTTGTATGTTTACAGATTTATTGTATTATTTTTTTTCGGTTCAAATATATATTTTTTATGATTTATTTGTAACTAATATACATAGAAATTAGGCTTTCTTCTGTTCAATAAATAATATAACATTCTCACCTTATACATTTAGTTTTAAAGTATACACGTAAAAGTTATACGGGTGTGTTTGAAAGATGCAGATGAAGGTGAAACTAGTATAGACTATTTAGAAAAGCATTTCATGCTTGGTTGTCTTAAACGAAGTCAAAAATTGTTTTTTTTTTGCCTTAGTTTCAAGATTTTTTGAGAAAAAGCCAATAATTAAATAGTATTATTTTATCGAGGGACTTAATCAAGCGAATATATACCCGAGGTGGTTAGCCATCCGAACTTAGCGAAGGTGTCTATTACTCTAAAAGTTTATATTGGCTTTTAGTCTTAAGGTGAAAACTTTATTTTTCACTTCGTTTGCGAGAAAAAGAAATATTTCAATCGTTTTCGCTCTACAACATAATTACGAACTAAAATTCTGAAGTTTCCGCGGTATTTTTTTTCTCAACCAGACACAGATACATCGAAACGCGCTAACGCGGGAAATTAGTATGGCGCCACCGTACCTATGTATATGCGAAAAAGGCACGGTACTAAAACCGAGCGTACTACTGAAGATTTAGATTTCACAAGTCACAGATACTTAGAACACGTTTTATTACATTACTTTATTTAAAAAAATATAGTAGAATTTATTTATTATTTAAACTGGTCATAGTATCAATGTCATTCAAACTTTTAAACTGTTGACTTATTCTGAAAAAGATCTTGAAATTTAGGTAAAATAAATTTTTTAGAGTTCATCTAAGACAGCCATGCCTGAAACGCTTCTAAATAGTCCATACTAACTGCACCTTAAAGCTTTGCACCAATCTTCCAAACATCCTGTATATAACATCAAGTTATACATACTTAAATAATACATATTGAAAATCGTAAACGTAGTCAAGGACACATCCACGGCACATCATTCAGGACACTTGGACCCTTGTAAGCGGAATACAGTTGACCTTAAATGTTAAGTGTCAAGCTTGACGCGCTCTGATCTGACCAGACCACTTTTATCATAAATAAAAATGGTAATAATATTGGTTGAAGTTGTAATAAAAGTATAGTTTTATCTAACTACGAGGCGACTCAATTTTACATATTCCCGACTAACACTTTCATTACACAAAATACATAATAGTAACATAAAACAACCTCTATACTCATGAGCATATTTAGAAGAACGTTAAAAAAAAGTTTAATAATATGATAGTGTATTACGAATTATAATTAAATGAATCACTTGCTTTAATCGAAATCAAAAGACATTTAATTGAAGTCATTCTTTTTTCAAATTAAACGTTCTGGGGGCCTGCTGAGCTCTTATAGCAATCCTATTTATGCCTTTAATTTGGATTGCCTGTCAAATTCTATGACCTCACAAAAACAATTTACTGTCCATGCAGTTTACGTTCCTAATTCGAAATCCGTTTACCTTTTCTTTCATAGTAAAATCGTATCATGACGTGCAATTTGCCAAAATAATGCGGTCTCATCTGTCAAAATAAGCAATTCAAATAAAGTTACTCCGTGACTAACTTTTTTATAGTCTTTTCAGGCTATATAGCCAATTGTCAATAAATAAATACTATTAATTAACTATTGAGCATTTTTTGAATGTTTTAGTTCGAGTTTCCAATATTTAAAGTATTATTGACAAATTATTGAAATGAAGGTTATTGCAATTTTTAAATGGAATATTAATCATTTTAATAATTTTATTGACTTAGCGAAAACCGTAAAATAACTTTTGAATAGTGCCGAATTTTACTTTAATGCAATACGTACGAATACAAGATACGTTCCAATTATGTTACCAAATTACAAACTTACCTTATTCATTTCAGTG